CCGAGTGTCCGTATTTATAGGTGCGCGCGCCCCGCGCTCGCGCTCCGAAGCGCTCTTTGCAAAAACACAGTATCACGTGTGGGGAATGAAACCTGGGAGGAAAACAAAGCCGCAGGCGGCGACCGCGGAGGCAGGCGGCGGGAGGCGGGGGGGCCGGAGGAGGAGGAAGAGGAGGAGGAAGGGAAAGCCGAGCGGGTGGCGGGGCTAGGGATCCGCCGGGCGGTCAAGGTAGTCTGAGCTTCCTGCGGGGCGAGTTGGTGGCTCCCAGGGCGCGCGCCCAGGTGAGGAAAGCGAGCACGTTTCCCCGCCGCGCTAGGACTGGGACTGGGGGCGCGAGCAGAACCCCGTGAGTCACGGAATGAGGATGTGGTCTTGGGAGAGTTGTGGGTCTGCAGGACAATTAGAGCGACGCAGATTTGACCTGCGAATGAGTTAACTGGACTCCGAGCTGCCGTTTGCCCCCGAGAAATACGTCCTTATAAATAGTTACACACGGTTAGGAACACACCCCTTCTGTGGACAGTCCTACCTTGAAGCTGCCTCTAACCGTTGAGTTTGTGTCTCATTCATTTACAGGCTGAGGATGCAGCCCCAGACATAAATGCCCACCCCGGTGTGCATAAGACCCCAGGCGGGCAAACGTCATCCCTACCGCCAGACTAACTCACTCACCTCCGTTTGATGGTGCTGTCGCTTTACATCTCTTAGCAAAGGCCAATATGAATTTTTACTTTGTCCCAGAAACGTGCTCCGTTTTCCCTGAAGACAGAGAGGTAAGCTAAGATGGCCTCACACCCTTTTCCGCTTGTCACCTTTCAAATTTTTGTGGGTTATGTTCTCTTTTTCTCCCATGTAAACTGGAAACAATATGCACACTTTCTGTCATTTATTTCATAAATATCCATTTGGCATCTACCATGTCTTCTATCAAGACCTGTCCAAGAACTTGATGGTTCTTAAAGAGTTGAAATTTTGGTTCTTCGAGGAGTCTCCGGTGCTGTACTCCGGCCCTACCCCCAACAAATGCCTGTCTGGGGGATGGAATTGGGTACCAGTAGCGATCTGAAAAGGAACTCGGGTTTCCCTGTGCGGTTTGGGTGACTTACCAAATGCAGCAGGAACAGTTGTCACACTGAATTGCACTCTGACATCTAAGAAACCTCTCTACACTTTTCTGAGGGAGAAGCAATGTGTTTAAGATCAAGGGATTAATTTAACTGAAGGTTTAAATTTAGCCTTGTTGCTAATGGGTAATTCTCCATTGAAATTCCACTCCATTTCGAGTTCAGAAAAGTAAATTGAGTAATGTAGAGCAAATACACCCTTCCAGAGACATGCAGCCAGCCTGGAGGATGAGATATGGGTGAGTTCAGGTTACAGTTGCTTAGGACAAACGTGGCACATGGCCCTTTACAGGGACAATTGTTCATTTTTTATTTTATGCCATTTTTAGGCCTTTTGAAAAAGTGGAACCTAGTATGTATTTATAGCAGCCTTACAGCAGCTAAATGACCAGCTCTGTGTAATTTCATTAGGATTTTAATTATTCTGTTTAATTAACTACTTGAAACTTCCAAGCTGCTTTATTACAACTAACTTAATTTACCTGACCGCTGGCCTGGTTGTGCTGGCAGGCAGTGTTAAATAAAACAACAACTCTGCACTTGTGAAAGAAAACACTTTTTTTTAATCACAATAGGGATACATGTTAATTGCAGAATGTTTCGAGAATAAGATAAGCAAAGAGAAGTAGGGGGAAAAAAGCTTCACTAATAATCTCATCTCCTATGGAAATAACTAATACAATTTTGGTTTCTGTCCTATGTGTATTTTTAAACAAAAGTGAAAGCAGGCTGTTTGTGTCTTGTGAATTTTGCTTGCTGTGTTGTGGTTATCTTTCCACTTAGAATGTTCTTCTATAGCATCATTCTGATGCATGGTGTTCAGTTTGTTGGAGAAACTGTCATTATTAAGCCTGTGCTCTACATTGAACATTTAGGTTGTTTCCTCTTTTGCTGTTATAAAGAGTAATTATGACATCCTTTGTTTTTCAGCCATCCAATATTATTTTATTGGGTTAAATAGATGCTGGGGCGAACAGCATATCATGTTCTTAATCCAGAAAAGTTGTCCTAATCTGCTTCCTCACTCTTGCCAGCACTGGGTATTAAAATTTTTTCATCAATATTCATTTCTTTGCCCATTTGATGCATCCCTTAGGCTATTTTAAGAGTTAAATATCCAAAATAATTTCAAATATTTATTAAAGCATCAAACAAGAATTAATATTGATTTAACCTCCAAACTGCTTTTATGGGGATCAGGAGAGATGTAGTTCACCTACTGTGTGCTAGCCACAGAATATTTCTAATCCTTATGACCACTCTGCAAGGGAGTTGGGGAGGGGGTCATTATCTTCAATAGTTTCCAGATGAGGCTCAGAAAAATTAAATAATTTGCCCAAGGTCACTACCTGGGCCAATAAGCAAATTTACTCTTAAGACCCATACATATTATAGTGCCCTCTGCTGGGGAGGATGTTTTATGACGGGGGCCATCTCCGCATTTAATCTCATATTCACATTTGAGAGCCAGCTATAATGGAAATAAAACAAGCTTTGGAGGAAGGGGATCTGGGTTTCAAGAGCAAGTCTCTTAACCTCTCTAAGCCAATTTCCTCTGGGTTATTCTGAGGTACCAATGAGATTGCTTGAGAAACATTTTATAAAACTTTAAAGTACTTTTTTAAAGATCTGTTCTTTATATTATCCTAATCTACTTATCCCCTGAATTTTTCCAAATTCACTTATTTTTCACCTATTTATATATGAATCAAGTATTATTGGGCAACTTCTATGTGCACAGCACCATTTGCTACAAAAGGTAGACAAAGAAATGTAGCTTTTAAAGGCCCTTGTGCCCTTGACACTGAAAGTAGGGACTACCAGAAGCTCAGGACATACTTAAGTAAAAATGTGAGGCAGACTCTGATTAAGTGATCAAATGAGCAATTGACTGGGACTATATAAGTTATCATAGTGTGAAAAAGAAGCTTTTTATCTGAGGGGAGTCCTCAGGCAAGAGCCAGGATTTCAGTTGACTTGGGAAATAAAGGAAAAAAGGAGGAGGATGGTTTAGGAAGAGGAAATTCTGCAAATTCCTTATGGATTGCAGGCACAGAGGACTAGAACTTGTAGTGTAACTCTTACTGGTTTGCCAGGGTTTGGTTTTTTTCCGTTTACTTCCATACTGCTCCTTCCAAAAGCCCATTCTGAACACTTTAATTGCATGCATGAACTGCTTTGATTGACACATATGGGAGTCAATTTAAAAATGAAAGAAAGAGAAAGAACCTACAAGTAATCACTGGCCCTTTAAAAAAAAAAATTCAGCAGACCAAGAAGTCTGAAAATTAGCTTAGAGATGACAGTGGATATCACTCATTAAAGAAGCCACCTAAGTGGTATTAACAAGGGATTCTGATGCCAGCGAGGCCCTTACAGGCTTATGACCTTTGGGGACTCCTGCTTAGAAAAATCACAAAATGTTGGCATTGGTTGCCTCATAAGCAAAGGTAGGTTTAGTAATATTTCACCCTGCAGAGTTGTGAGGATTAGTGACAGTATAATGCTGTAACTAGCAGAGGGTCTCAGGTAGGTAGCTATTACTGGAAAAAATGCAAAATATAGAAGGTGCCCCTAACAAAGGCCAGGATGTTTTAAGTTCTAGGTTTTTATAGTTTTCACTAGTCCTGCCAGGCAGGCAGGACCATGAGACACTTCGGATGTCAGCTCCAGTTCAGAACAGATGATTTTACTGCATGTTCCGTAAAAGTGCAGGCTGCTGCCTGCTTTTTATAGGCATAAAATATAGGCATAGGGTTGGTGAGAAACCTGCTACTTTCCTTAATCAAATGAAAGTTACATTTTCCAAGATTGGAAATGGAGACTGTCCAAGAGGCAGTCGTTAAGGCCCCAACTCTTGAAATTCACCTTCCCCATGGGGACTCTGGATCACTTCTTTGTCCTGGGAGGAGGGGATAGAAATTGATGGGGGAGGGGCGTTATTGTTTCTCCCTTTACAATTTGGCAAAGATACCTTAATTTCCATACTTAATTTCTCCAAGACATCTGAGACTAAATACAACATTTAAATAGAACTTAACTAGAAGCTCAGGGCTTTTGAATGAAGAAATAAACTCAGTAAGTAATAAACAGCCACCGATTGCAGAATGTGACTTGTAGAATGTGACTTACTTGTGTTCCTCATCTCAATATTTCCTAAATGCCAATCTCACACTAGGTTCTGGCTTAGGTCCTGTGAACAAGAACAGGTTATAATCCCATCCTGGAGCCCTCCAGCTAATAGCAGAGGAAGTCATGGTAATATTTTCACTCAAATACGTCAAGTATTTTTTTAAAGAGAGAGAAACAGCTGTATGCACAGGGTTCAACCAAACCCCAGCATACCACCTAGGGTAGGGGCTGTCTCAACCTTTGTCCCCAGCACCTAGGATACTCTCCTGTCCCTACACAGGAGAAGATGCCCTGGGGAAATGGCACTCCTGCTCCTGGCCACGGTCCCACTCTCCAGGTCTCCTTCTCCTGTCCGAGGGACTACCCGTCCCTCGGGGGTTGGCACCAGCAGCCCCTGACCTTGTTCATCTAGGACCCAAACAGGATCATTTTGTCTCCTAACCCTCACCCTATGTGGAGGAAAGAGTAAAAAGGATCTTGTACCACAGTACCTGCCTAGTACGATGTGAGGCCTTCAGACTTTTACAATTCGTATGAGAAGCTGAGAAAACTAGACAATAGGGCGTGTCCGCTGGACTGTATATACAGTCATGTAAGCATGAGTTACTAATTTACCAAAGACAACAGCTCAAGGCAAGAATGGACTGAGATCTGTCGTCAATCTGGGGAGACGTGCCAGTAACCCTTCGTCACCTTCAGAGTGTTTTTAGAGTAGGAA